CAGAAAAGATCACTACTGGGTACTGGGCTTAATACCTGGCTGGTGAAATAATCTGTATAACAAATTCCTATGACACGAGTTTACCTATGTAACAAATCTTCACACGTACCCACAAACCTAAAATAAAACCCAAAAATTAGAAAAATAATAATATTTAATAAGCAATATACTTTTCCAACTGAGAGATTATATCTAATCCAGTTGAGGGTAAAATAAAATTTAAGGCCGGGTGCAGTGGCTCACGCCTGTAATCCCAGCACTTTGGGAGGCTGAGGCAGGCGGATCACCTGAGGTCAGGAGTTCGAGACCAGTCTGGCCAACACAGTGAAACCCCGTCTCTATTAAAAATCCAAAAAAACTTAGTTGGGTGTCGTCGCACACACCTGTAATCCCAGCTAATCGAGAGGCTGAGGCAGGAGAATCACTTGAACCCAAGAGGCAGAGGTTGCAGTGAGCCAACATCGTGCCATTGCACTTCAGCCTGGGCAACAAGCGCAAAACAGTATCTCAAAAAAAATAAAATAAAATAAAACTTCAACAACACAATGAATTCTCCATAAAAATTGTCTTGTCAGTCATATCTGATCTGACTGAAAGTGTTGGCAACTCACAATATCAGTGCTTTCTTCATTAAGTTGAAACACAAAATCTGTCCCAGGCTGTAATTACATTTAAAAACATTCCTTCTTATTGTTCTGTAATAGTATAGATCTGATGAGACATTATGGGTTACTAAAAGCTGTAATTTTTGATTTTTCAGCTGATTTATCATTTTATCATCAAAAATCTCATCCAACCTGGAAGAATAATTTTTGACAGCTGTGTGACCCATTTTTTTTTTGCCTCTAATACACTACTAAGTAGGTGATTATAAGGCTCCTTCATTACATTAATAGTAGTTGACAACTTATAAATTATTAATAATGTGTATTTTTTTCTTTGGAAACATTTTCTTGACTTATTGACAAGATATTATGCTGTCTTTCCAGACATGTGTTTTATCTGGAAGGTTTAAGCTTTCAATTATGAAGATTTTATTGTAAATTACATGTCGAGTCTGTCATTTCTGTTGTCTTGCATATTTTATAAATCACATTTAAATAATCTTCACTATCAGATCTTGCATATATTTTTTCCATTTTAGAAAGCAACTCAAATAAAATAAAATACAAAATAGTATTCTATTCTGGATTTTGGTGGGGGGAGTTTGAGACAGGGTCTCACTGTGTCACCCAGGCCATCTGGGTGGCATCTGGGCTCCCTGCAGTGGTGCCATCTGGGCTCCAAACAGTGGTGCCATCTGGGCTCCCTGCAGCCTCAACCTCCTGGGCTAAAGCGATCCTCCCACCTCAGCCTCCTGAGTAGCTGGGACTACAAGTGTGCACCACCATGTCTGGCTGATATTTGTATATTTTGTAAAGATGGGTTTTTGCCATGTTGCCCAGTCTGGTCTTGAACTCCTGGGCTCAAGAAATCTGCCTGCCTCAGCCTCCCAAGGTGCTGGGATTATTGGAGTGAGTCACCACGCTTTATTAGGTTGCAGTGAGTCGAAATTCTGCCATTGCACTCCAATCTGGGCAACAAAAGTCAGACTCCATCTGAAAAAAAAAAATTGCCTCTAATTATTCTGTAATAGTACAGGTGTCAACAAGCTGAACTTGAATATACCTCTATATTTTTACATCACCTGTTTTTTCTAATAATAAAGCAGCTCCGTATACTAGTTCAATTAAAGTGTTATAATAGCTACAAACTGAAAAAAAGGAATAACTTCTATTCCAAAAAATACCCTGACACTCATAAGTGACACTCAGTTGAGAGTCTTGACAATTTGCTAATCAATTGCTATGGCACGTCACAATGAATTGCACTTTACATCAACACAAAACTAAACTGTGCAGTGTTCACATCCTGATAGAAAACTGATCAAACTATGCATCAAATACCAGAAAACTGAATAACACACGCAGGGCCAGTGATATAATTTCTGGAGCCAAATGCAAAAACAAAACTATGCAGCCCAGGCTGGGTGCAATGGCTCACACCTGTAATCCCAGGACTTTGGGAGGCCAAGGCAGGTGAGGCACTTCAGGTTAGGAGATCAAGACCAGCCTGGCCAACATGGTGAAACCCCATCTCGACTAAAAACACAAAAATTCGCCAGGTGTGGTAGCATACACCTGTAATCCCAGCTACTCAGGAGACTAAGGCATGAGAATCGCTTGGTTCAGGAGACAGCAGTTGCAGTGAGCTGAGACTATGCCACTGCACTTCAGCCTGGGAGACAAAGTTAGACTCCATGAAAAGAAAAGAAAATAAAACAGGGAAGGGAAGGGAAGGGGAAGGGAGGGGAGGGGAGGGAAAAAAGAGAGCGAGAGAAGGAAAGAAAGAAAGAAAGAAGGAAAGAGAAAGAGAAGAAAGAAAGAAGAAAGAAGGGAGGGAGGGAGGGAAGGAAGGAAGGAAGGAAGGGAGGGAGGGAGGGAGGGAGGGAGGGAGGGAGGGAGGGAGGGAAGGAAGGAAGGAGAAATGGGGAGGCTAGCCGGGCAACCCACCCACCACAGGGTGGGTGGCCAAGAACCTGTCTCAGGAAGGAGGGGAGGCCATGGAAGGCAGGGTGGGGTGTGGTCAAGGCTCAAGTCTCAACACAAGCTTCTGTGCCCCGCCCCACTTCACTTACCAAACACAAATTCAAAGATGCAAGTATTAACATTTCAATGTGGCAACCACAGGGAAGCAGATTCCAAGCACCGGGCCCTTCTGAATGGGGTTCCCCATACAAGGCACTGGTTACACCCTGGTGAAGCCAGCGCTGGAGATGCCAGTGAGCAAAAGAACAAATGAGCTACTCCTGACTGATGCATTCTGTCCCACACAGCCTGTCCCCACATGGCCAGTCATGATGGCTGCAGGATGAAGAATGTGTGAGGCGCGTTCACGTTTTTGTTGTTCTTGTTGTTGTTCTGGTCAAATCATGCTTAAGGGCTCATGTCTCTCTAAAAGCCTGTCCTTATTAGGTGGGAAGAGTCAAGAGAAGCTGCCTGGTACAACAGCAAGAATATGGCCAGGAGACAAAAAACCTTGGCTGTCATCTTCAGCATTCCATAGGATAAGCACATCCATTCATCTCTGGGCCTCTGCTTCCTTATTATTAAATTCCTCATGTTGTAACTTTGGCTTCCTTATTATTAATTATTAATAGGGGTTAGGCTAGGTAACCTTCAACATTCCCTCCAGCTCTGTTTCTGTGAGAAGGAAACAACATAAATAGGTGTTTGACATAAGGCGTTTGGTGTCCTGACTGTTTTATTTCCATTTTTATTGGACTCATGGCAATCGGTGTATTTTGATTAATCAAAGCCATATCCGAGCTGTTTGTTCTGATGTGATTTGGCATAGAAGCCGAAAGAGATGAGCTGTGAGTCATTTGGATGTGTGCAGGCAAAAAGGCCCTCATATCCTTAAGGCCTAGCTGCAGATGGGTCAATTCTATAATGCTAGATTTTAAAATAACACTAATTACTACCTGGGACACAGCCTTTTATCTAAGGTGCTCAAAGGGCTTTGTGGTCATTAACCCATAAATCCACCGGCCTCAAGCCATCAGGAGCTCAAGAGGAATCTCCTTAGAAGACAAGCAGACCAGAAACCAAAACATCACAAGGAGGAGGAATAACAACCATGACTAAAGCAGCAGGAAGGGGGTGGGAGGTGCCGGATCAACACAACAGTGCTCCTGGAAGAGTTCAGTGGAAAATCCTCCTGTGATCCTGCTGACAGCAGTTCAACCACTCACTAGACTCTTGGAGTGGATGCTCATGGATGTCATATTTCATCATCCAGAAAATCCCTTTCCCCTTAATGTAAATGTTAGCCTTCACAGCTTCAGAAAGACTGCTGTTACACCCAGAGCAGGTGAGGGGGAGCACTTTCATCCCTCGAATTTTCTTCTCTCATAGGAGAAAATGGCTTGTTGAAGTTGAGGAATCTCTAAAGACAGAACACCACTTCAGAATTCTTTTGTCAAGGGTTTGTTAGTCTCTGATTTATTTGCAGGTGCTTTCCATAAATACACATCTGTTGAAAAACCATACTGCTATAAAGGACCTTCTGAAGGGTCTGGAATTTTATCTTTAGAATCATCCATTAATCAAACCATCCATCACCTAGGAGGTTGTCCACATGGGAGCAGAAAATGGTCAACCTGACACCCAGGCAGCTACAAATCCAATCAGGAGATGAGATTAATTCAAATAACATAAATGGAGACACTTCTTATTTATTATTCATTTATTCCAATTCATTATTACTTAATATGTATTCATAAGTTAACTAATAGGCAGAAAATAGGGGTTCTGGAATTTTGAATAGAATAGACCCCAAGTCTTATAGAGTTCCTGGTGGAAGGTGATCAGCGAGGGCTAGAATGATGAGGGAAGGCAGGAAGAGTCATAGAGGAGATAAGATGAACAAAATCCTACAGGGAGGGAAAGATTTGGGTCAAAAACAGGATACATGGGAATCAAGCAAAAGGCAGGTTGGGACAGGGACAGCATCTAAGCGAAGGTGAGCAGATGGGAACTTATTATTTTTGTAAGGCAGTGGGAAAACCAAGTGGGCTAAATCATAGATCCTGGAGACGTGAAGGAAGTACAGGTGAACAAGAAAGGTAGAGCCAGATCACAAACGCCTTGTAACTAGATTAAACGAGCACTGATTCGAGGTCTTCAGCAGTCCTCTGTCAAAATACATATATTCAAGGGCCGGGTGCAGTGGCCCATGCCTGTAATCCCAGCACTTTGGGAGGCAGAGGCAGGTGGATCGCTTGAGGTCAGGAGGTCGAGATCAGCCTGGCCAACATGGTAAAACCCTGTCTCTACCAAAAATATAAAAAACTAGCCGAGCATGGTGGCATGCACCTGTAATCCCAGCTACTTGAGAGGCTGAGGCAGGAGAATCACTCGAACCTAGGAGAAGGAGTCTGCAGTGACAGAGCGAGACTCCATCTCAAAAAAAAAAAAAAAAAAACCCATATATTCAGGAAAAGAATCAAGGAGTAACTCGGAGGTGGCGGGGCTGTTTGGTAGGTGTAGGCTGGACACTGTGCTGTGCTGTATTTTGTGTCACCATACGAGAAAAGGAATATGGTACTCCGGTATCAGCCGGTGACTTTTGTCAGCTCTTTATCTCAGGACCTAGAAATGCCACATGGAATGAGACCCAGAGCAAGGAGGAGAGGAAGGATGTTGGAAAATTATAGCCAAAGCCTTGGGCAATACTAGGGCTGGCTGGTGCAGGTAAGAGTTCACCCACTGTGGGAAGCCTGGGCCTCAGAAAGGATTTTCAAAAGGAAGGAAAAGAGATTAGCAGAGAAGACGAATTTCCCCTGACTCACAGTTTTGCCTGCCACTGGCCATTTTAATGACAGCAGTAGGCAAAACCACCCTTCCATAGTGAAACCCTCATTACCTGTACTTCGTTGAATGGATGCTCTTTTGAATGAAAATCAAGATATGAGGGCCAGGCACGGTGGCTCATGCCTGTAATCCTAGCACTTTAGGAGGACGAGGAGGGGAGATTATGAGGTCAGGAGATCGAGACCAGCCTGGCCAACATAGTGAAACCCCCATCTCTACTAAAAATACAAAATGTGGTGGCACATGCCTGTAGTCCCAGCTACTCGGGAGGCTGAGGCAGGAGAATCGTTTGAACCCAGGAGGCAGAGTTTACAGTGAACTGAGATCGCGTCATCGTACTGCAGCTTGGGTAACAAAGCGAGGCTCCATCTCAACAACAGCAAAAAAAAAAATCAAGATGTGGGAAAGTCTCCAGAGATGGCTTTTTAGGGAATAGGTCAGAAGGACGAAGTATCCTGGTGTGAGTCACCTGAGGGCCTTGTGTAGCTTCCCTGAATGTGTTGGAAAACACAGGGAGGAAACCGTCTTTCCTAGATTTCCCCTTGCTTTCAGATTTACACGCGCTCCCTAAAGCCAAGGTGCTTCTGGTCAGCAGTAGAAAGAAAAAGAACTGTTCTCACCAAGGAAATCTAAAAGTTGCTGTGAAACTGGTGTAGGTGTGTCTGTTTGTCCTTCCGGTTCTTTTTATAGAGACTGCAGGGACCTCGGTGAGAGCCTATGGTTCTTCCGCCCATTTAGGGAGAGATTAAAGAAGCTGAGGTTGGCTCTTTCTTACTCATTGGCAGTTACAACCTCACCAACACTACAGCCTCGGCTTCCAGAGTGGACACGGAGAAGGTAAGTCGGAATCAGGGGGCCATGCCCTCAGCTGTAACCAGGGTCACTCCAGCCATCTGGTCTGGGGATAACTGAAGGGAAGTAGAACTATGGGGTATTCAATTGTGATGGATTTTTTTTTTTTTTTCAAATGAATATGTGGGATTTTTTTTTTTTTTAGATGGAGTCTAGCTCTGTCACCAGGCCGGAGTGCAGTGGCGCGATCTCGGCTAACTGCAACCTCCGCCTCCCAAGTTCAAGTGGTTCTCTGGCCTCAGCCCCCTGAGTAGCTGGGACTACAGGCGCGTGCCACCATGCCCAGATAATTTTTGTATTTTTAGTAGAGATAGGGTTTCACCATGTTGGCCAGGATGATCTCGATCTCTTGACCTCATGATCCACCCGCCTCAGCTTCCCAAAATGCTGGGATTACAGGCGTGAGCCACGGCACCAGGCCGTGGGATCTTTTTTGTCGGCTACCTCAATCAAGACATGGACTTTGGTACAAAACTATTCAAAAAGGTATTTAAAGAAAGGTACCATTTTGTACAATTCTTTGATGAACAAATAATAGGTGTTTAATTACAACATGTTGCATTGTATTGACTTGAACTGAAAGAAGGAACAGTCATTAAAATTACTGGGAAACTTTATTCCCAGTCATTCATCTGCCTGTCTCCTTCATGCACCGTTTCAGTGTCTAGAATGATCCAGTGATCCCTTAATGTTGGCACACACCTCCTTTTATGAAAAAGCCTTGGAAATTGGGATACACAAATGGACATATTATCAGGTGAAGTCTGTTCAGCTTTTCCGAACAGGATGAAGCTGAGATCGTTTTGAGGGGTTTAGGTTGCCTTTCTCATTTCCTTTACTGGCATTCTACATGAAACTTTTATAAATTTGGGCTAATATACTATGATAGCATTTCCCATCCCCTTAGACTATGTTTGCATATCTCTCTGAATTTTTTCCATGTAGGGAAGCTTAGCATTTATATAAGTATCAGGAGTCCAACAAAATGTAACTCAGGCTCTGGATAGTGTCCTACGGACAATTTTGGTAAAGATATTTATTTCATATGCCCAGTGTCCTCATTTCAGAAGGAGACATCACGGTGCCCTGCACGGACCACCCAATAGGCATTCTTGTAGGTATTAGGTTGGTGCAAATGTAGTTGCCGTTCTTGCCATTACCTTTTTTTGTTTGTTTGTGTTTTGTGTTTTTTGTTTTAAGACAGGGTCTCACTCTGTCGCTAAGGCTGGAGTGCAGTGGCACGATCTCAGCTCACTGCAACTTCTGCCTCCCAGGTTCAAGAGATTCTCTTGCCTCAGCTTCCTAAGTAGCTGTGACTACGGGCACGTGCCATCATGCCTGGCTAATTTTTTTAAGTATTTTTAGCAGAAATGGGGTTTCACCATGTTGGCCAGGCTGGTTTTGAACTCCTGACTTCAAGTGATCCACCCGCCTCGGCTTCCTATAGTGCTGGAAGTACAAGTGTGAGCCACCATACCCTTGCCTTATTTTTTGTTTTTTGAGACAGAGTCTAACTCTGTCACTCAGGCTGAAGTGCAGTGGGGTGATCTCGGCTCAATGCAATGTTAGTCTCCTGGGTTCACGCAATTCTCCTGCCTCAGCCTCCCGAGTAGCTAAGATTACAAGCGTGCACCACCACACCCAGCTAAGTTTTATATTTTTAGCAGAGATGGGGGTTTCACCATGTTGGCTAGGCTGGTCTTGAACTGCTGACCTCAAGTGATCTGCCTACCTCGGCCTTCCAAAGTGCTGGGAAAACAGGAGTGAACCACTGTGCCCGCCATTCTTGTCATTACTTTTAATAGCAAAAACCGCAATTACTTTTGCACCAACCTAAGAGCTACGGAGCTGTCAATTAGTCTCATCCTTTTTCTGCAGGGCATCAGAAAACCATTCTCGCGAGGTCCACACCTGTAAGTCACCATGTACCAGGACTGCGTCGAGTCCACCGGAGACTATTTTCTTGTCTGTGACACGGAGGGGCCATGGGGCATCATCCTGGAGTCCCTGGCAATACTTGGCATCGTGGTCACGATTCTGCTACTCTTGGCATTCCTCTTCCTCATGCGAAAGATCCAAGACTGCAGCCAGTGGAATGTGCTCCCCACCCAGCTCCTCTTCCTCCTGAGTGTGCTGGGGCTCTTTGGACTTGCTTTTGCCTTCATCATCCAGTTCAATGAACAAACTGCCCCGGTTCGATACTTTCTCTTTGGGGTTCTCTTTGCTCTCTGTTTCTCGTGTCTCTTAGCCCATGCCTCCAACCTGGTGAAGCTGGTTCGAGGTCGCGTCTCCTTCTCCTGGACGACAATCCTGTGCATTGCCATTGGCTGCAGTCTGTTGCAGATCATTATTGCCACTGAGTACGTGACTCTCATGATGACCAGAGGTATGATGTTTGTGCATATGACACCCTGCCAGCTCAATGTGGACTTCGTTGTACTCCTGGTCTATGTCCTCTTCCTGATGGCCCTCACATTCTTCGTCTCCAAAGCCACCTTCTGTGGCCCGTGTGAGAACTGGAAGCAGCATGGAAGGCTCATCTTTGTCACTGTCCTCTTCTCCATCATCATCTGGGTGGTGTGGATCTCCATGCTCCTGAGAGGCAACCCACAGTTCCAGCGACAGCCCCAGTGGGATGACCCAGTCATCTGCATTGGCCTCGTCACCAACGCATGGGTTTTCCTGCTGCTGTACATCGTCCCTGAGCTCTGCATTCTCTACAGATCGTGCAGGCAGGAGTGCCCTTTACAAGGCAATGCCTGTCCCGTGGCAGCCTACCAACACAGCTTCCGAGTGGAGAACCAGGAACTCTCCAGAGGTACTTTCCTAGGGGATTCAGGGAGCAGGTCAGATTTGGGATGGGTGTCTATAGTTCAAGCATGGAGATGCACACTCTCAGAATCAAGGTTAAATTTTTATGGAAAATGAGTTCTTCCAAAACATAGAGCTTTATGGGGAGAGACCAAGACATCAATGAATCAGAGGCCCTCGATAAAGAGGGTGTGACTCTGAATGTTCTTACTGGCTATCGAAAGACATCCCCTATTAAATGAGTTAACCAGCCCTAAATTAGGCCTGGACCATGAGATTTTGCATGACATCTAATGCTCAGTCCAGATGTGTTGGCCGTCAAGTGCAGAAGCCAATGCTGACAGCAGTGACGGACATTTTAAAACATTGTCTCCAAGCTGATTTGCCCAAGCATAGCCTAAAACTGATTCACAGGACTCGTCACCTCATTAAAGCCATAAAGCCCAATCACTTCTGGATTTCAACTTTTCAAACCATTTACTGTTTAAAATCCTTCAAGGTTTGCAAAAAGCGAGATGAAGAGCCATTACATCCTAATTCTAAGTAAAGACTCAGATGTGTGACCATTAGGAGAAAGAAAGGAACTTGCTTATGTGACATTTTCATAATACTTTCTGGGTCATATTTTTATCCAAGCCACCTGACTACATGTTGTTAAGGAATAAAGCACATTATCCATGGCAACAAGGATGCTTGGACCCCAACAACCTGGGGAAAATAGTGGCCTATTTCAGTTATCTGGAAGTATGTCAAAACTCATTAATTCCTTTTCTGAAACATCTGGACTATTATCCAAAACCCAATATCATAGCTTTACATCAATTTTTATGTCTTAATAGGCATCTGATTTCTCACATTTTATTTCTAATGTGTAACGATGATGTTATTTTATATATTGTAGAGCACACATAATGCTCACCAGGCTCAAAAAAAATTCACATAAGCTTCCTTTTAAGTACATACACTTTCTTTTTGAGCAGTAATCTATGGCAAATTGCACATTCAAATTAAATCCTGTTCAGATAAATGCATCCATTAATTCTTTTCAGTTCAGTTGACGAAAAGTTGGAAATTGACACTACACGTGTTTTCCTATAAAAGTTTTTCGTTGCTTGTTGACGATGCATAATCACACCGCTGAGGCTTGTGGCAGAACTGCAGAGTCAATCTCTCCTGAAAATACTTCCCATAGCATAGTTCTTACCAGAAGATAAAACTTCTTGTGTTTGTTTTTGTTGCTGCTGCTGTGTTTCCAGGAAGCAAAAGTCAGAGCGAAAAGAATTCTTAGAGTTTCACAATAAACCAGAATACACTGAGATTTGTAATGATCAATAGTCCACACCCCACAAAATACCAGCAAGTGCTGAAAGGGTTCAAAGGAGTATGTTAGTTGAAAAGCAAGGGGTTGCAAAAATCTGACAACTCCTGGTTTGGCCAGGAGTATCCTATGACTCAAGCAAGGTTAGAAAATCCATTTCTGAGCAGGAAATAGTCTGCCAATGATAGTCATGATCAATGTAACTTGAAATTTTGTGAAAAAAAATCCATAGTGTTGTAAAGAACATATAGATTGGCTGGGCTCTGTGGCTCACATCTGTAATCCCAGCACTTTGGGAGGCTGAGGCAGGTGGATCACTTCAGCTCAGGAGAAGGAGGAAAGAAAGGGAGGGAGGGAGGGAGGGAGGAAGGAAGGCAGTAAAGAAGGAAGGAAGGAAGGAAGGAAGGAAGGAAGGAAGGAAGGAAGGAAGGAAGGAAGGAAGGAAGGCAGCCAGGAAGGAAGGAAGGCAGCCAGGAAGGAAGGAAGGCAGCCAGGAAGGAAGGAAGGAAGGAAGGAAGGAAGGAAGGAAGGAAGGAAGGAAGGAAGGGAGGGAGGGAGGGAGGGAGGGAGGGAGGGAGGGAGGGAGGGAGGGAGGGAGGGATTGCTCTCCAGGATTGGGCAAAATAACCAGAAGCTTAAGCTCAGAAAGTAAAATCAGAATTTTTATATTTGTACCTGGAAGAAGTACAAATATCAAAATTTAGAGGAACAATTAAAACTCAATTAAAAGTGCAGGATTCCACCTAGCTAGGAAAAACATACAAATAGATACAAAATGGGTAAGGGCTAGAGAAGCATAATAACAATAACCTGAAACGTCCTAAGTGTTCTGGTAGGCCACGAGCTGATAGTAGGGAAACAGCTTACTACTGACTTTGCTTTTGTTTGCTCAAGAAACAATCATGGTACTGTATAAGGTCAGCAAGAACAACCGTGCCATTGTACCCAGCATCGGTTAGTCTCCAGCAGGGATACCCACTGATCCACTAACGAGAAGTGGGGGGAGCTTGGGGAGGCTCGGCAGAACCCCACAAAGATGATTGAAGGATTTAATATCAGACCTGTGTGGAAAGGTGAAGACAGTGAGAATGAGATGGTCGTTCTCAAGCTTTGCATGCTTTATCAGACTATCCAAGCTCTCTCTTGAAATTCTGTCCCATTTAGTTCCAGTCCATGAGGCATGCATTTGTGATGTGATGCTTCTGACTAATGCTGTTTGTAGCTGTGATTCCAGTCACATAATTATTTGATTTACCACTGGGTTATGAGAACAGAATTATTCAGCTGAAAGGAGAGTAAGAAAGGGGAGCCTGGCTGAAAATTTCACAAGCATGGCTGGGCACAGTGGTTCACGCCTGCAATCCCAGCACTTTGGGAGGCCAAGACGTGTGAATCACCTGAGGTCAGGAGTCAGAGACAAGCCTGTCCAACACAGTAAAACCCCGTCTCTATTAAAAATACAAAAATTAGCTGGGCATGGTGGTGCATCCTGTAATCCCAGCTACCTGGGGCGGCTGAGGCATGAGAATCACTTGAACCTGGGAGGCAGAGGTTATAGTGAGCAGAGATTGTGCCACTGCACTCCAGCCTGGGCAACAGAGTGAGACTCCATCTCAAAAAAAAAAACAAAAGAAAGAAAATTTCACAAGTACGAAGACCTGTCCCCAAGAGGCGGTCTCCCTGTTTTCCATCTCCAGCTAAAGGCAGCAGGTGGAAATGGACTCAGAGGCATGAGAGATTTAGATTAAATATGAACGTAAGAGTTGGTAGACAGAAACAGATCAGCAAAGGGAATTAAGAATTTCATTTCCCTGGAATTCTTTCTAAAGAAGATTAGGCTTTATGCTTCTGAAGTGGCTTATGGACTTAATTTTAAGATACAAAAACATCTGGATGGAGAATGAAAATGCAATCAAGTGTGTTACTGTAGGACTCCAAACAAATGGGTATAAATATTATTTGCCCTGTGTTATAAGTGTGTCTCTGAGAAGCTGTAGATTGATTGGACTTTGAAAAATCAGTTGGCTTCAGCCAAAATCTTGAGCCAAAAATATAGATACATGCTCTTACAGTATTTGATTGAAATTTAACAAGCTCAGGCCGGGCAGGGTGGCTCATGCTTGTAATCCCAGCACTTTGGGAGGCCAAGGCAGGCGGATTGCGAAGTCAAGAGATCGAGACCATCCTGGCCAACATGGTAAAACCCCGTCTCTAAAAAAAGAAATTTAAAAAAATTTTTTTAATTTAAAGAAAGAAATGTAACATGCTCAACATATTGTCAGGCACAGGAAACTTCAACAAAAAGATGAGGGCAAAGAATTTGTGTACATGTAAATGAAGCAATTAAAATGCAAAATAAAAATAGAGACGTAATTCTGAAATTATTTTGATGTTTAACTACTTCATTTACATGCACCTGGGATTATTTTTTAACATAGTCTTCATTAATTAGATTAGTTGATGGATATAATACTTGTTTTATATTTAATTTAGAGTTGGTAAGTTTTGGAATATTTCTCTTCCTGAATAAATGATAACTAATCTCCAAAATAAATAAATAGAATAAAATCAGTAGGTCTTTTGAGAATCTTAAATGTGATATAGTTTGCAGAAATCTTAAATATGGTAGAATATCAGCTACGAATTGCTTTAGGAGGGAAAACTCTTCTAATTATTGCCTGCCTTATCTGTTTTAGACTAATTAGAATATCGTTATATCAAATTTGCTAACAGTAAGACGCATCTGTATTTGAAAGTGTCTGCCAAGCGTGATCCCAGTACTTTGGGAGGGCGAGGCAGGTGGATCACCTGAAGTCAGGAGTTCAAGACAGGCCTGGCCAACATGGTGAAACCCCGTCTACTAAAAATACAAAAAATTAGCCAGGCATAGTGGCAGACACCTGTAGTCCCAGCTACTTGGGAGGCTGAGGCAGGAGAATTGCTTAAATATGGGAGGTGGAGGTTGCAGTGAGCTAAGATCACACATTGCACTCCAGCCTGGGCAACGAGAATGAAACTCCATCTCAAAAAGAAAAGAAAGTGTCACATTACTGTGGGCGTTTTTCCATCCAGTGTTTGGATGCTTACAGATAAAGCTCATAAGATTCTTCTTTGAAAATATTAGATCATCAATGAGTCTACATAATATAAAAATGAGTCAACGAGTATAAAACAAGGTGAACCAAGAGGACACTATTTCTGCAAACATCGGCCCTTCTGGTTGTTTCCCTAGCAAACTCCAACTTTTGCCAAATATAGCCCTTTTTGACGATTCTCAGCATTTTTTCGTCAAGGCACACTCACCTTAGCAGGGAAAATCCAACTTACAAGGTCCCAAGTGGTGTCATTTTTGTTTGTTCTTTCATGCACGGAAAGCTCTTTTTTGTCATTCTCAAGTTACAGAGAGAGAGAACTAGCTTCAAGCAGAGAAGAAAACAGTGGGGTCATAGGCAGGATTTGTTTGGTCTGAGGACAGATAAGTCACGGATGATGATATTCATAAAGATTCAGAGAGCTTAGCTGGATGTGGTGGTGCACGCCTGTTCTCCCAGCTACTCAGGAGGCTGAGAGGGGAGGATCACTTGAGCCCAGGAGTTCAGGGTTGCAGTGAGCTATGATCGTGCCACTGCACACTCCAAAAAAAATTAAATTTAAATTTAAAAAAACAAATTCAGGGAGCCGGAGCTTAATTGGACAGCAAGGGGTAGTGGAAAGAGTGCAGAATCGAGCCTCACATACCCAGGCTTCGAGATTCTGCTTCTTACCAACTTTAAGACCAAACCAATGTCCTCAAGCCCTAGGAGCCTCAGATTCCTCATCTTTAAATGCTGCTCATCACATCCCTCCCTGCCTCCTTCACAGATCAATGGAAGGTCTTACTCAACTCAGACTTCCTATCACACAGTGCAGATTTAGTGTATAAAAGCCACTCAGCCTTTTTGTAAACCCTTGATAGCTAGAGCTGGAAGTCTTAGGCTTTTCTAACTGATGATCGGGTTTGATGAGAATATTGGATGAAAGCTGGTTCCCAAGAGACTGAGTGTGAAGGAGCCTTGTTATGACACAAGGAGCAAAGTTGAGCCAAGGATTCGGTTTATTCTACCATAAAGGAGAGAACTTTTTTTTTTTTTTTTGAGACGGAGTTTCGCTCTTGTTACCCAGAGTGCAATGGCGGGATCTCAGCTAACTGCAACCTCCGCCTCCTGAGTTCAAGCAATTCTCCTACCTCAGCCTTCCAAGTAGCTGGGACTACAGGCATGCCCCACCATGCCCAGCTAATTTTTGTATTTTTAGAGATGGGGTTTCACCTTGTTGACCATGATAGTCTGGATCTCTTGATCTCGTGATCCACCTGCCTCGGCTTCCCAAAGTGCTGGGATTACAGGCGTGAGCCACTGCTCCTGGCCCAAAGGAAAAATTTCATGCATCACAGCATCCAACTGCTTTTAAAGAAAAAATGCCACCAAGAAGAGGATGTCAGAGCATCTATTCTAAGTGCAGCACCACCACCAATAATCATATAAAAAGGATAGCTCATGAGTGTTTTCTATATAGCACGCCCCATTCCAAGCACTTTATATAATATTTTTATATAATCTTCAAAACAGTCCTGTGAGATAGACTTACTGTTATGATTGTCATTATTCCTCTTTTATTTCAATCAGGAAATAAAGGTAACAAAAGGTTAAGGAACTTGGCCCTGGGTCGGTAACACAAGTGAGAGAGCCAAGCAGTCCTTCTCCAGGGTCCATCCACTCAACATGAAACCCCTAAGTGTGAACGCTACTGACATGGTTATGTCTATGATCATCAAAAAACAACTAGGTATCCAGCAGGTGCCTGTTCTTAGAGACAAGCACAGCTCCTGTCTTCACAGAGCTTATAGTCTGGTCGAGGAGACAGCCATTAAACAAATACCTATGTCTGTGATTATCCTACGACAATACAGAATTGTCTCAAGTGATCTCTTTTATTATGTGCGATTTTAAAAATTGAATTCAGGCCGTATGTGGTGGCTCAGACATGTAATCCCAGCACTTTGGGAGGCCAAGGTGGGAGGTTTGAGGCCAGGGGTTTAAGATCCGCCTGGGAAAATTTTAAATTTTTTTTTTTTTGAGACAGAGTCTTGCTCTGTCACCAGGCTGGAGTGCAGTGGCGCAATCTCGGTTCACTGCAACCTCCGCCTCCTGGGTTCAAGCGATTCTTCCACCTCAGCCTCACAAGTAGCAGGGACCACAGGCACATGCCACCATGCCCGGCTAATTTTTGTCTTTTTAGTAGAGATGGTTTCACCAGGTTGGCCAGTATGGTCTCGATCTCTTGACCTCGTGATCCGCCCACCTCGGCCTCCCAAAGTTCTGGGATTACAAGTGTGAGCCACTGCCCCCGGCCTAAAATTTTTAAAAATTGAATTCAAGCTTATAGAGAATCAAGCCTAAAGGGACTGTTGAAAAGAGTGAGATGTCCAAGGTCACACAGGTAATACTGAGAGAGAAAGAACTGACCCGGAGCTAGTGCTCTTCCAACGCCAATGTGCTTCTCTTAAACACTCAGACGCTACCCATGCCTTCCACATCAACTTTAAATGCACTCCTTTAAATTATAAACTTTTTCAATAGCAGCCACAACTAAGAATTTCTCTTATTTATTTATTTAGTCTCACCCAGACTAGAGTACAGTGGCACGGTCTCGGCTCACCACCATCTCTGCCTCCTGGGTTCAAGCAATTCTCCTACCTCAGCCCCCTGAGTAGCTGGGATTACAGGCGCACACCACCATGCCGGGCTAGTTTTTGTATTTTTAGTAGAGACGGGGTTTCACCATGTTGGCCAGGCTAGTCTCAAACTCCTGACCTCAAGTGTTCCACCCATTTTGGCCTCCCAAAGTGCTGGGATTACAGGCATGAGCCATCGCTCCCAGCCTGAGAATCCCTTTTAAAGAGTGAAGAGCCTGTTTGCAAGCCATGGAGTTTTCCTGTAGTCCTCATGTGCTGTTTCTACGTGACTCTCAGACACTAACCCAGCCCTTCCCTCCTTTGGCTTTCAGCCCGAGACAGTGATGGAGCTGAGGAGGATGTAGCATTAACTTCATATGGTACTCCCATTCAGCCGCAGGTAAATGTACTCGCCTACACACACTCAGGAGGGATCTAGCAAGCACTCCTTCCTCAGGACAGCCTCAGGCTTTGTTTCTAATGGTTTCACTAACCTGAGAGCAGAGAGGCAGGGCAGGAGCATCCCTAAAGGCATGTGGAGCTTGAGCCACCCAGATTTAAGCCAGACCAGGTGGCACAAGACAGCCTTCACCCAAACCCTCCCAGTCTTCACTGCCAGCAACAATATAGCAGCATTCTGGTGCAACTGTGTGTCCCTGGAAAGAAAGGACAGCTTGAAGTTTTTGTGTGAAGGTGAAGAGGAGCAGGCTCACCAAATCTTGCCTCAGGACGGTAGAGGATTGCAAATGTGTCTGAGCGCCAGGTTTGCTTGTAGCAGCAGTTGTCTGAACCTATCACCTGAGCCCCACCGACTGCCTCTCTGAGTCTCTCTCCAGCAGCCCAGGCTGCTCTAAGAACTGGGCAGGATCTGTCACCTTCATCTGGATGTCCAGATGGATGAACAAATTGCAATCCTTTCAGGCAAAAACAGAGGGAGCCCTGCTGAGTAGTTTGGGGGTAATTCACATTTAGGCTGTGAAGACTTGAAGACATGCAAATCTAAACAGCCAAAAATATCACATTGGGACACAATTCTTACATTATAAGGATCAAAAGTAAGTAAAACCCCAGCATGAAAGTCACACTCAGATCAATTGTTCAATTAATTTACAAGGTCACTAACTAAGCTAACCCCTCTGGTATGTTATCTGAGACTTCGCCTTTTCCTAGAATGACATATGGACCAGCCCATAGCTATATCATGTGCTTTAATCAACCCTCAGGAGGGCATTTACATAATGAAAACATCTTTATTATCCCCTCCAAGAGTTTCTTGGATTCATTTCAATTTCCAGTGATCAGCTATTCAACCTTGCTTGCAAAAAGATTCTTGTTCATGGCTAGGGGGTAGCCTGGTATAGGTAGGCTCCCTACTTTTCTTCTTTTGTTATTGACAAAGAATTAACTGAAGGTGAGATCATAATACTTCAAAAATAACTTTAGGGCTGAGCACAGTGGCTCACGCCTGTAATTCCAGCACTTTGGAAGGCCGAGGTGGGTGGATCACTTTAGGGCAGGTGTTCAAGACCAGCCTGGCCAAAATGGTGAAACCCTGTCTATATTAAAAATACAAAATTAACCAGGCATGGTGGTAACCTGTAATCCCAGTTACTCAGGAGGCTGAAGCAGGAGAATTGCTTGGATCTGCGAGGCAGAGGTTGTAGTGAGCCCAGATCGCACCACTGCACTCCAGCCTGGGTGACAGCATTTCAAAAAACAAAAACAGGCTGGGCGTGGAGGCTCATGCCTGTAATCTCAGCACTTTGGGAGGCTGAGGCAGGTGAATCACAAGGTCAGGAATTTGAGACCAGCCTGGCCAACATGGTGAAACCCTGTCTCTACCAAAGACACAAAAAGTTAGCCGGGCGTGGTGGCACATGCCTGTAGTCCCAGCTACTCAGGAGGTGGAAGCAGGAGAATCGCTTGAACCCCGGAGGCAGAGGTTGCAGTAAGCTGAGATTACGCCACTGGACTCCAGCCTGGATGACAGAGTGAGACTCTGTCTCAAATAAATACATAAATAAATACATAAATTTGGAGCATATCATCCCTTTAGTTGCTCAGAAAGTTGATCATGGCTTTTCTTCCTTTCCAGACTGTTGATCCCACACAAGAATGTTTCATCCCACGGACTAAACTGAGCCCCCAGCAAGATGCAGCAGTATAAATCTACAGGAAACACGAGTAGAGAAAACCCAGCAGACCCTCCTGGGTAGCAGAGCCGTGATGGGCCACTGGGGCCCACAGAGTCACGCTGCCAACGAAGAGTCAGCACATCCCTCCTGCTGTTTCCTGACCCTCCATCCTCCTGGACCCTCCACCAGAAGACTGCCCTTTCGAGCATAATTACAATCTTGCTGGCCACCCTACCTTGACTGTGTCTCTTTCTTCATTCGTGTAACTGCAAAATTCCCTTTCTTAGCAATGCTGGAAAGAATTGGTGCCTCTTATTCACAGAACTGAAAGACCCTGTCTGAAGAAATTAAGGGCATTCTAATGTAACAGCGAGGTTAGTAGGAGCTTACCACTGGATTCCACGTCTGGTCAATTTTTAAATTGTGCTGAAAAACACATAACAGAAACTTTACCATCTCAACCATGTTTAAGTGTACGGTTCAGTAGTGTTCATCATATTCACACCGTTGTGAATGTTCTAGAACTTTTTCATTTTGCAGAACTGAAATTCTCAATCCATTGAACAACTCCCTCCTGCCCCTGACACCACCACTCTACTTTTAGTTTCTGTGAATTTGACTATTTTAGATACCTTATGTAATCGAATCATACGGTATTTGTCTTTTTGCGACTGGCCTATTTTTCCTGGCGTCATGTCCTCAAGGTCCAAGTCACATGGTGTAGCATGTTGCAGGCTCTCCTCTTCCAGGCTGAACACTAATCCATTGTATGTCTATTCCACGTTTTCTTTATCTGTCCACGGACATCTGGGGTTGCTTTCACCTCCTGGCTATTGTGAGTAGTGCTGCAGTGAACACAGGTGTGTAAAAATCTCTTTGAAATCCTGCTTTCAATTATTTTGGTGTATACCCAGAAGTGGGATTGCTGGATCATATGATAATTCTATTTTTAATTTTTTGAGAAACCTCCATACTATTTTCCACAATGGCTACAGCCTTTTACACTCTTATCAACAATGCACAAACAATTCCACTTCCTCCACATCCTTGCCAACGTTGTTATTTCCTGGGGTGTTTTGTTTCCTAATGAGTGTGAGGTATCTAGTAATTTTTTATAAAGGAATTCTTTTTTTTTTTTTGAGACAGAGTCTTGCTCTGTCGCCAGGTGCCAGGCTGGAGTGCAGTGGCGCAATCTTGGCTCACTGTAACCCCCGCCTCCCGGGTTCAAGCAATTCTCCTGCCTCGGCCTTCCCGACTACAGGGGCGCGCCACCACACCCAGCTAATTTTTGTATTTTAGTAGAGATGGGATTTCATCATGTTGGTCAGGATGGTCTCCATCTCTCGACCTCTTGATCCGCCCGCCTCGGCCTCCCAAAGTGCTGGGATTACAGGCGTGAGCCACCGCGCCCGGCCCATAAAGGAACTCAAAATACGACAGGCCAGAATTGCCTGCAAAAGTGAAAGCCTAATCCTCAGGATCACAATTGGGTGGTTTAAAGAACATGACGTTGCCATGGACTTGCAAGCTGGCAGGCTTTCTCTCCTGCTGCCACCTCCCTGTGATAGCTCCTTGGGCAGCATGGTTAAGGGCATGACCTGCTTTGCTGAGCCAGTAATAGCAAAGGAAGAGCCACCCCAGTAGATGCTCATAAAGAATTTTACGTGAACATAAAAAGCATAGTCTGCCCGTCTTGAGGTTTCTATTGAGCTGGTGTCTCCGTGCTAATTGTCTTGCCTTTGTTCCTCATCAGCCGCGCATTCTTCTCCATTCTTTCATCTGCCCTTAATACTCCTTTGTTATCTATTACAAGAAGAAGAGGGCAAGAGTCAGAGGTGTGCCTCCAGAAGGGTCCTGGGGTCTGATTCAGCCCTCCCACCTTGCAGATGAGAGAACAGAACTTTGGAGAACAGAATGACTTACCCGAAGCCACACACTCATCAGTGGCGAGCCAGATTTTCTGACTCCTAGGCCAGTCCTCTTCTCTGTCCACAAGGCTCCTCCATGCTCCTATTTCTGCATGAGCAAGTAAGGTGTGTTCCCCTTGAGAACAAATGAATACTCAGAGCCCTGAGTGCTGAGTGCCTGTTAAGTGAAAGCATTCTGAAAAATAACTAAGGCTCTCCACAGGCAAGAGAGCGTTTTTAATGGCCAATGGACAGCCTAAGTTGTTCAACAGCAGTAAATCTTTCCTGAGCATCTGCAAGGTACCAGGAACCGCTCCAGGACTCAGCCCCAGACAAGGCATACAACACTGCTTTGGCAGGGTTTGCATTTTGTTGCGGAAAACATACAAGGCAGAGAATTTCAGGAACACAGCTCTTTTGTTTTACAGATAGAGAGAAGGGACTTGCCCAGTATAACATGGCTTGTTAGCAGTAGAACCAAGACCAGAATCCAGGTTTCCAAACCCTATCCAGTGCTCATCTCTACGCAATGTTCCATTCCAACTTCTTTTTTTTTCATTTGAGTTGCAGTCTCACTCTGTCACCCAGGCTGGATTGTGATGGTGCGATCTTGGCTCACTGCAACTTCCGCCTCCTGGGTTCAAGTGATTCTTCTGCCTCAGCCTCCTGAGTAGTTGGAATTATAGGCACGCACCACCACACCCAGCTAACTTTTGTTTTGTTTTGTTTTGTTTTTTAAGTAAAGATGAGGTTTTACCATATTGGCCAGGCTGGTCTTGAACACCTGACCTCAAGTGATCCACCCACCTTGGTCTCCCAAAGTACTGGCATTACAGCATGAGCCACCAGGCCCAGCCTATTCCAACATGTTTATATATGTCCCTGCTGCACTAAAATTAGCTGCTCTTTTTCAAAATCTGTGCCATAGCAATGTTGTCAGCACAACCCAGGACCTAGTAAATGACCAAAGTGTTTGACCTTCTGCCTTATTGATAATGAAAAATAGAGAAAAATTGTTTAAGCATTAAGCAGTGCTCTGGCCTATAGATTAGGTGGCATCCACGTGAAGACCCTAATTTGAAAGGTAGAAACAAGCCTTGCAAGCTTCCACCTGTTCTGAAAGAAAACCATTATGACAGACCCTCCTGGTGTTTATCCCAATAATCATAATAATGATACCTTCAACATAATTTTGTTTTGTTTTGTTTTTTTTGAGACAGAGTCTTACTCGGTTGCCAGGCCGGAGTGCAGTGGCATGATCTCGGCTCACTGCAACCTCAGCCTCTGGTGTTCAAGGGATTCTCCTGCCTCAGCCTCCTGAATAGCTGGGACTACAGGCACATGCCACCATGCCCAGCTAATTTTTGTATTATTAGCAGAGATGGGGTTTCACCATGTTAGCCAGGATGGTCTCGATCTCTTGACCTCATGATCTGTGTACCTCAGCCTCTCTTGGCAGCAGGGACATATATAAATGCTAGGATTACAGGGATGAGCCACTACGCCCAGCCAATTTTGTTTTGTTTTGCAAGCAGGAGATGTTTCTATAGAGTTGGCTGACAAATTTTTAAAAACCCATTGAAGCCATGTACAAGGGCCTAATATTGCCTCCCAAAATGTTTTTTCTAAAATTGATGAAGGTTAAAATTGAACCCCTTTTACCAAACTGCCTCTGATATTTACACCACAATTTTATCTAATTTTAGATTACATATTAGTTTAGATTCAGGGGATTGTAGGTTGAAAGTGTCTCATTCAAACTGTTTCAGGAATGGAGTTTTACTTTAATGTCACATAAGACAGGGAAACAAAACTTCCTCAGGATACAGTCCAGCCACTCAGCTGGCCTGACGGAGAGTGAACACAGACACTGAGAGAGGCTTGCTCTCTCCCACAGTCTCTTCTACACTTTCTCTGCTTCTTTTGATGGGTATTTTCTCTTATCTGCCCACAAGCAGCTGACTGATTATCTCCCATGTCATCATTCAGCCCTTCTCTTAGGCTGAATCAGCCTGTGGATTGGCTGCCCTTGGGTCCGGCACCCACCACTGGTCCACTCAGCTGTGCCTTGCTTGGTCACATCTGCCCACTTCCTCTGTGGGAAGCTGTGGAGATGGAAGTGTTCTCTGGGGAGCATGCACCATGAGTAACCGACACAGGAGAAATTCATCCTGAAAAATACAAAAATATAATTTTATGAAATTAGAGAATACTTTTTTTTTTTAGACAAGATCTCACTCTATCACCCAGGCTGGAGTGCAGTGGCTCAAGCCATCCTCCCACCTCAGCCTCCCAAGTAGCTGGGACTACAGGTGTGCCCCACCACACCCAGCTAATTTTTGTATTTTTTGTAGATGAGGTTTTGCTATGTTGCCCAGGCTGGTCTCAAGTGATCTACCTATTTTGGCCTCCCAGAGCACTGGGATTACAGGAATGAGCCACCATACCTAGCCTATGGAATATTTTATGAAAATACAATAAAATTTATTTCAAGTTTATGCAGCAATTCACATAAAGCAAAAAACTGTGAACTCTCTAAGTAGAGAACCGTGAGGAACCTGCTTTAAAAAAAAAGATTTTCCCAGGTACTTAAGAGAAGGCCTCCCCTGAGCCCAGTTGTTCAAGGCTACAGTGAGCTATGATCATGCCACTGCACTTCAGCCTGGGTGACAGTGAGACCCTAGCTAAAAATTAAAAATAAAATATAAAGCTATTTATGGTTAGTGTATTGTACTCAATTACTCAATTTGACAAGTATTATTGAAGATCTAAACTCATTTACTTTTTTTTGTTGTGAATAGAGATGAGATGGCTGAGCACAGTGGCTCACGCCTATAATCTCAGCATTTTGGGATGCCAAGGTGGGTTGATCATGAGGTCAGAAGTTCAAGACCACCCTGGCCAAGACGATGAAACCTCATCTCTACTAAAAATACAAAAAAATTAGCCAGGTGTGGTGTCAGGCACCTGTAATCCCAGCTACTCAGGAGGCTGAAACAGGAGAATCACCTGAACCCAGGAGGCAGAAGTTGCAGTGAGCCGAGATTGCACCACTGCACTCCAGCCTGGACAACAGAACAAGACTGTCTTAAAAAAAAATAGAGATGAAATTTCACCATGTTGCCCAGGCTTTAACTCCTGGGCTCAAACAATCCTCCTGCCTTAGGTTCCTAAAGTGCTGGGATTATCGATGTGAGCCACCACACGCAGCCATCTAAACTTTTTTACTTGTATGTAATGGGTTATGTAATTTGAAAGGTACATATTCTCTAAAATATTTTACTTTTATTTTTTTTTCTGAGTGGCTCATTTCATCTTGCATCTTAA